TTTTATTGCCTTTATGATAGTGACAGTTGAAGATAGACAGGAAAGGGGGGCAGAGAGAGGGGATGACACGCAGCAAAGGGCCGCAGGTCGGATTTGAACCCTGGGCCGCTGCAGCAAGGACTCAGCCTCAGTACATAGGTCGCCAGCTCTACCGACTGAGCTAACCATGCGCCCAGTCGTAATTATTATTAACTGCCTTGTTTATTAAGACAACTTCCTGAGGAATAGTCTTTGCAGTACTATTAAATGAAATTAAAAATTAAATCTTTAGTGACAGGGTCACCTCTTTAGCCCTGATAACATGTGGAGTGCCCCAGGGTTCAATTATAGGGCCACTCTTTTATCCCTAATATACATTCCCCTTCGTCATATCATAAGCATGGTGATGATAGTGGCATGGTGATAATGATGGCAGATTATAATCAGATGTATCTCCCAGTGAAACCAGATAACCTCTTTGATATGCCCTGTCTGGTTATATGTCTGGCAGATATGAAAGACTGGCTGTCTACAGATTTCCTTCAATTTAATTAATTAAAACAGAGGTTCTTATCATTCAGCCTGGGTTCTACATTTTGATAATGACACCAGCAAGCTTGTCCAGTCCTGTTATTACAGTTTTTTTTTTATATATACATATGTCTCAAAGATTCTATCATCACTGTATTTGTTACCTGTTTTTTAACCTATTTTGATTACTTATAAGGCTCTTCATGGCTCCGAAGTATATTTCAGAGTTGCTCTCCCTTTACCAACAAGTTCATCAGACATTCACCTTTTGGCGGTTCCTGTGTTTAGATTTCAAGCTAGACTGCCTTTCCTTTTAGGGCTACCTGGCTCTGCCATGACCTGTCTAAGGAGTTCACGCTAGCTATACCATTATCCTCATTTAAAACAATTATCTATACTATACTATATACTAAACTGTTATGCTTGATATCTCATCACCTTCCATACATTCTACATTTTAGATTTTCATTTTGTGTCTGTTTTACTGGGTTTTGCCTTGCTTATTTTATTCCTTTTCTATGTTTTTTATGGTTTGTTTCATGTATAGCATTTTTGTAAAATTGGTTTTATGAAGTACAAAGAAATTGCTGAACAACTATACACTATTATTATGATGATTCTTATCGAGGTCAAATGCAATGCTGCTTCCTCTGCTGTCAGTTGGAGTTTGAGAGTAAAGGATAACAAAGTGTGAAAGTGCATCTCTAAGGACTGGTCGCTCACATCTAGAGAGTTTAGAATTGTTCTTGATGCTTTAACATTGATTAGTTTCATGAATGTTTCTTCACTTCTGTGATGGCTTATTTCTTCAAATTAAATTTTGAAATAATTAAATCTGTCCTTGCAAACTCATGTTGTACCTACTCATTTTAGTTTTAGTTAAACTTTGTGTTACTGTGGCATTTACCAGTGCGTTATGCAGGGTACTGTGTTTTCAGAGAATGATCCATACTAGGGACAAAAGGTCAAGATATCTCGGCCTCAGCTGCTTCGATTTTGACCATTAGTATTTAACACAGTTAAACTATTTGGCCATAGTAAATAACTGGTCATAATGCCTGTTTGCAGCAGTACCTTGCACTTTTTGTACCATACTTTATTAAACTTTAAGACATATGTGTATTCTTATATATTTGTATTTAAGTTCTGTTTTGTATCATGGTTTTTTATTTAAATGTATATTATTGTTTGGCAGTATCTTGTATATTTCATATGCATGCAAATGAGATCTTCGTACCTGATTTAATAAAGGTTATATACCATAAAACTTAGCCCAGGCATGTATTTGCTTAAATCACTGAACTCAACCTGATACAATCCTTAACCTCAACTCAAGAATGTAGCTATTAAATTAATCTATAAAATCCAGAACAGGCATCTAATTGAGACCTGTGTTTATTTGTCAAAATGTGTAGCCAGTAACCAGGCAGTAAAAGGGACCTGCTTCTAATAGGGACCCTGCTTTTAATTGAAGATTTACAGTATTTGATTCTGGTGCATGGGTTGCTGTGGTACATTGAAACCCCACCACCAGATCTGACATTCTGTTCAACCAACTATTGACACTAACCATTGACAAGCGTACACTTTTTCTATTCACATATCAGCCTTACAACTTTGTCCATTTTAATTCTGATAAAGACAAGGTTGTGTCAAAACGTCTGTCTCTTTGCAATATTAAAGATAAAGCTACAAATCAGTCTTTTATGCTTCTGATGATATTTTGTAATTTGAGTTAACCAAACCTTTGCTCATAGCTGTGTTTGCACCACCCTTTGCTTCATTATCACTCTGTGACAAGGAGCATTACATTTCACACTAACAATATCTTTCTCCATTGTTTCTATTTAAAGCCTTCTCACCCAAAAAATCACAAGGAGAGACGGAACTGAAAAATCCAAAGGGCAACATCCACTAAGCTTTGAGAAGAAAATTACTATAGAGAGGCAGGCAGAGGAATGCAGACAAGCGATAGAAAGGCCACTAAATTGTGAATGTTTCCTCTTCTGAGATCTCAAACCAAGTTTGAGAGTGCCATAATCCCTACAAAATGCACTTTAGCAACCTGCAACAGTCACAAAGAAATGAAACCCATTCCAAACTACATCAATTATATGAGATTGCCCTTTACCCTGACAGATGAGGCTCAAACTGAGTCCTTCAGAAAAAGGATAAATGGAAATTGCAATGAAAGGAGGTTGGGATTAATCACTACCCATACACATTTACTATACATAAAAACTGTGCACGAAATGAACTGTGTGCTCACATGAGACAACTTCCACAAGCAACATCAAAACTTCTGTGAAGTAACACACAAACAGAAAGTCAACAGATCCCCACTGGCATCCTCAATAGTCAGCACGCAGCGACAATGTTTTCCACTTGTCAGGCTCACTCTGCTTGAACAACACACACACCAGACCAACGGTGTGCAGAGAGAAGAAAATGGCAAAGACAAAATCATCTGCAAGGACAACTTGTGAAGCTTCCAAAAGGCTAATTTGGCTACAATGTAAACGCTTCTCCTCATTTTCACTTCACTGTGAACTGTCCAATATAGCCGAAATGCCAATGACGGTCTTTAGAAAACATATTAACACAGAATAAAGCATGTAGCTAGATGAGAAGGAATTCACCTCCCTCCACAGAGAACTGAATGGACATTGCTTAATCTGCCTGTTCCCGAAAAGTCTGGGACAGACTCACGGAGGATGAAAAACAGAATGCTGAGTGCTAGTTGGGGAAAAAACCCAAGCCAGTTTAATAATTTACAACCGGCTTTCACAGATCGTGCATGGTACCAACCCTCATCAACCCTTTCAAAGGACAGTATCCCATGGAACAAAGGAACTGACATTATAGTGCACATCTGAATGCTAATATTTACAATATGCTTAGTAAATGCAGTAAGGCAAGTCAATATGCTGAATTTGATGCTGGAACAATATAACTGGTAAATGGACTGCACTTATATAGCACCTTTCTAGTCTTCTGATTCAAAGCGCTTTACACTACATGACCCACTCACACACATTCATACACTGATGCAAGGAGCCAGCTGCTCACCAGAAACAGCAATTAATCATTCACACATTCATACACCAATGGCACAGCATCTGGTGCATTTGGGGTTCAGTATCTTGCTCAAAAACACTTCGACATGCAGCAGGATGAGCCAGGCAGTGGACCGGCAACCTTGTGATTAGTGGACAATCCTCTCTACCTCCTGAGCCACTAAAAACTGATAAAGAAGGTTTTTACAACCCGGAAATTATAAAGATGGGATGTGTGGTCTTGTTCAATAGATGAAAGCAGGATGAATGTGAATATACACTCACTCTAAAGTGAATTCATCATAGCCTGCAATAAGACAAAATGTAAGTTGACTGGCCAACTCTGTCTGACCCTGTTACCCAGAGAGACCGTGTTTGTGTGTGAGCTGCTTCCCCCTCCTCTACTCCCTACCAGCCGACTTTACCACTCTAAATAACAAAAATGATAATGGGAGGTCATTTTCTTGCCAGGCTGCATAAGACCATTTCCATTCAAGCCCATTTTGCTTTGTCAGTTTGACGGCTGATCAGGGAGGGGAGCGAGTACAATGACAAGAAGCCGGCAGGAAGCAACACAAGTAGCTCAAGTTCTCAGAGGAAATTATTTTACTACTGCCGGCTTTATGCTCTCTAAAGATTTCCCACGTTATTTTCCTGAGGCCTCGAATAGATACACAGTCCGTAACAGTTAATTAAGAACTTAAAGCCCAAATGCCAAAACAGCTATAACTCTCTTACATCTTAACGTTATAAAACAAAGATAACATGAGACATTATGGCATTAAGCGCTGTGAATGATCCATGTAGTTAAGCCAAGGGGGATGGCAGATAAGAACAATTAGAATTTCTCTATGTTTGAAGCCTGGGACACAGATTAGATATAAAGGATAAAAAAATACAAAACTGACATCCACCTGTGTATCTGATCTTTCCCCTATATTCATTACAATTACTGCCACATAACAGGTGCTCCTAATGTTTGAAATTACTTCTTCAGGAAGAGCCCAGAAGAGCAGCAGTAAAAACTGTGGCTACAATAAGCAGCATTCTTACCTTCCTCTTCTTGAAGGCCTGTCTGGCCAGGTATCCCCTGCAGGCAGCCTGGAACAAAGAGATGTTCCTCCTGGTCTGAACGTCCCGCTGCTCTTCCAACCTGGACAACGTCCCCGCTCTGAAGAACACCTGCAGGAGGAGAGGGAGTGTCAAGACAAAACAGCACACACCTTTCTTGAAGGTAGGGACACAGGGCCAAATCCAACTGCAAAGTCTGTTATACAGAAATAGCTCTTAATTCAAAGAACTTTGACTTTGCACAGTAATGCACATCCACATGTTCCAAGTGACTGTAAAACAAACATGCTGATATGATCAGATTTAAGGTAAATGTCGTTCATAACCTACAACTATGGTAAGAGAGTTTTATTAGCCCTGATCTAGCTGCACAGATATGTGCAGCATGGATGGAAAATTGTCCTTGGCACAGAGACAAAATCAGTATGGATCTCTGCCCCAATAACAGAGAGTTTATAAATGGAAACATGCCAACCCTGCACTTAACAATTTCACAGAGAAGTCAATATCCAGTCACTTTCATGTATTAACCAATGAGTGGGGAACTGCTTCTCAGTTCAATCATTTTATATCCTCCAAAAATTTACTATGAGCCACAAAGTCTTTCTTAACTCTTGCAGCTTGTACTTCTTCTTGGTCTGAAAAATGATACTGATATATTGATATTGAAAATGATAATGCTAATCTGCCTTAAACATGCATTCTTTCTAATGATCAGCAGGGGGCAGCTACATTGGGTTAAAAAAAGAGGTTAGTATTGTAAAATAGACAATAAAGCAGGGTATGCTTTAGAGCATGGCTACCTTGTGATTGTTGCCTGCTACGGACAAGTTGAAACCTAGTGCAGCTAATGGTGTTTTTTTTCTACAACAGGATGTCTTGTCTTTATTGTGCCTTAACAAGATCACACTGGAGCCAACTGACAAATTGCAGACTTGTTCATGCTGGTAGGAGATCATCGTTCAATCCCTGTGAATTTGCCACTAACGAAATATGAAAAATCTTGCAAATGCGGATTTGCATTTTTGTTGTTACTTAAAATCTTTGCTCAGTGTTCATGTTATTTGATAATGTCTTCCCTGTCCAGACCAACTATCTCAGTGATTTTTCTAGCCTGATCATTAAAATCACATCCAGAAAGATACCTGTGTCTTTCATCTCCTTTGCTGATGATTTGGGCGGCAGCAGTGCCACTTCCTGAATGCCAATGAGCGCACAATTTTTATTTTTGACTGAAGTGTCACAATGGGCAGACACTAGGCCCCCTGTAATAGCCTACATCATAATGCCTCTAACTCCTTCCAGATAATTTTTTGTCTGGGGACAGACATTGCTCTGTTCCTCAGCCCTGAATTAGCTGGCAGCTCTTTGTGGAAGTAGATTCATTAAGCAAAGTTTGAGTGACGCTTTGTCCTTCAGAGGATGTGACTGTTCCTAACTCTGACTGTAATTTTTAAAATTGGCTGAGCAAAGGAGAAAGTACGGCTTACAGTCTGGCCGGAAATTAGGATTGTTGGTTAGATGTCATGTGAATTCACCACTGCAATAAATATTTACCCAGCCTGCAAGCATTTTCTCACACAGGATAACATTTGGCCCATTTAACAACCCTTCCCTTGACAGTCCACCGAGATAGTAGGTATTTCTGGGCACATACTGGCAATCAAATCGGGGTCAGCCCGGTCGTGCAGCAGTTAGCACTGTCACCTAATGGAAGCAGTCCTCGAGAGACTGTAAGAGATGTCACGTTGTGGATACATAGACTATTTCTCTGCTGGAGAGTCAGGGAGCCTGGCTGTGTTTCTACAGTCACTTGAATCACATTTACGTCCCCCTTTGAGAGAGGTTCAGTTACCATTACTGTTCATCAGCCGTGAATATCTAGTGAAGCTCAATATAGCATAATTGTCTGCGGGCCAGTGTGTTGTGTTTACTGCCACAAAAGAAAAAATAAATCTGTAGTTTATGTCTGACAGCGTCTCTCACCCTATGTAATTTTTTGGTTGCACTTTACATTACAGGTCCAAAATCACATGTCAATAGTGGGGTAATAGTTTGATAATGAAGTAATAAAAAATAGCGATGCATTCTACTGAAGTTTGAAATGTAAATGTATATGTATGAAATATGTTGAAAGTGGCCAGAAATTAAATAGGAACAGGTAGTTTAGCACTTGGCAGCCCTGATTCATGGTTATCACCAGGGCTGTGTATTGGCAAGAATGGCAATACTATACGTATCACGATACAGGGATCGTGATTCAATATATTTCAACATATTGTGTAGGGCTGCAACGATTCCTCGA